TAGGATTCCATGGAATGCTGTCCTCACTATTAAATTGCAATAATCATACTCCCCTCCATACTTTTAAAGTCTCGTATGTAAGCATGAACACACAACACATATCATTAAGGAAGAGAATCTAGTCCATGTTTAGATTACACCACAGCAATCTCTTGTTTATTAAGGTGCCACAAGACTGTTAGAAAATTTGCATATGTTAGGCTATGATAATTTAGATCAGTGGTTTCCAACCTTTGGGCCTCCAGGTGTTTTGGGCTTCAACTCTCAGAAATCCCAGCCAGCTTGCCAGCTGTTAGGAACTGTGGGAGCTGAAGTCCAAAACGCCTGGAGGCCCAAAGATTGGGAACCACTGATTTAGATTATAAACTTATTGAAGCAAGAAATTCTATTTTTTAGCATGCCTGCGCTCACATATGCATCCTATTATTCTTGCTACTCCATTACTTGGGTCATTATATACATTAATTTGATTTAAATAAGGAATCTGATAAAAAAGGTATCCTAATATTTTTTTAAAAAATCTTCTTGTTGTTGATAAGCATTGGGTACTTATAGCTACACTCCAATAATGCCTTTTCAAAAGCACATCCCCCAGTACTAAAGAGAGATACCCCAGTGAAAACTGCTGATGTTACTGCTGAGGGTAAATGCCACCACAAAATATTGTCGAAGGCTTTCATGGCCGGAATCACTCAGTTCTTGTGGGTTTTTTCGGGCTATATGGCCATGTTCTAGAGGCATTTCTCCTGACGTTTCGCCTGCATCTATGGCAAGCATCCTCAGAGGTGAGGTCTGTTGGAACTGGGAAAAAAAGGGGTTTATATATCTGTGGAATGACCAGGGTGAGACAAAGGTCTCACAAAATAGTTTGACAGTATTTTAGTTCTCTTCTGCAGTCTGAACGTTCTCTTCTGCAGTCAGCTGCATATTAATGAGTGCTTATGCCCCTCCCCCAGCACCAACGGCCACTCTGAGGCCAGAATAAAGAAGGGGAGCCGGGAGGACATTGCCATCTTGTCCCCTGTGACATCAACGTCCCTCCCCCAGCACAAACGGCCACTCTGGGGCCAGAATAAAGAAGGGGAGCCGGGAGGACATTGCCATCTTGTCCCCTGTGACATCAGCGCCCCTCCCCCAGCACCAACGGCCACTCTGGGGCCAGAATTGTTTTTATACTGTCTTGAATTTTGTTGTTCCTATGTTGTACACCGCTGTGAGTCGCCCCTGGGCTGAGAACAGCGGTATATAAGCAAAGTAAATAAATAAATTATGCGGTGGAACATAATTAGGAATGTGATGCCCAATGAAAAGGAGACTGATGGGGGATGTGAATGTTATTGGGATATGAGCCACAGGATGAGACTGCCTCCTGGTGCCCCTGATGGTATATAGGAAGGCATTGCTTCTCTTGTTTGAATTGCTGCTTAACATTTTTTAAGTACTCAGCAACAGGAAGCTGTATCATTGCACAGTGTTTCCCTAGCACTGTTAATGAAGATGAAGCCATTTTATATGGACAAATATCGGACAGACTGTGAAGCTGTAGATGTGTCCATGGCTACCCATGGAGCTTCGTGTTTGGCCAAAAACTAAATGCTGGATTTCCCATATCTACATTCAGCATGTCACTCTCTACTTTGAATTAGCTAAGGGTTGTTAAATAAAATTGAACTGCATTGTAACCCTCTATGTTTTGCTAAAACACATTAAAAACAGAATTAAAACAAATAAAAACATTTACATCCATTATTAAATCACGTCGTCCAAAGTCATAGTCCAGGTCCACTCCAAAATTGCCATTGCACTTATAACAAACATATTTTAAAAAGAAAAAAAGCAAATACTCCAAATAAAGGTGTTTCCAATAAATAAATAAATAATAGATGGGTGAGAGGTCAAGTTGCAAGGTGATGTTCAGGTTCTGTTATAGCATTCTCTTCCCTTCCTTTCCTTTCTGGGATCATTCCTACAGAACATCTATGGTAATGGCCATGTGTAGAGACTGGAGACTGTGACCTAAGTCTCGAAGCTGCCATTGCCCCATAACAGCCCAGTGAAAGGTTTCACTTAGAAAAACAATTATTTCCCCCAACTCCCTCCTCCTCCCTGTTTAAATTTAAGTTGTGATCCATCTTGGATCTCAGTCACCAGAGAAATATTAATCAAATAAGTGAATGAATAAATATTATGGGATGCCTCTGCTACCACAAAATCTGATAAGTCTGCTGACAGAGCAGTGTGTTGGTAGAACTGCTGTGCTTGCTAAGATCATCTGGCAGAAGAGTAAAGAAAAAAGATGCAGAGAACAGGCGAGTTGAGGAAAAGCCAAATTGCACTGTATCCAAACATTATCCAGCTCAGAAATGCAGTCACTATGCTAAAACAGTTTGGCCAGAGCTAGGGCTAAATTCTCTAAAGGCAACTTACTATGTCTTATATTGAAAGCTAAACAGCATCAGCCTTGGTTAGTACTTGGATGGGAGACTACCAGCGAATAGCAAACACTGAAGACTATATTTCAGAGGAAGGAATTGGTAAAACCACCTCTGAATATTTCTTGTTTAAGAAAACCTAGTGAAATTCATGGGGTCACCATATGTCCATCGGCAATGGACATATGAAGGCACATCCACATACATTATTATCTAGGGTAATTTCTCATATCTGAGTCAAAAGATACACATTTGGTGTCCACAAAATTTCTGATTAATTGTTGTCTTAGCTGGCCTTTGGCCATCTTGGCCTCTTTGGATTTCATTGTAGTTGACTTCAAGTTAACTCTGATTTATGTTTACCCTATTATAGGGGGATTGGGGAGTGGTGATATTTATTTAAAAGAGGTTTGCCAGTATCTTCTTCTTAGGATATAAAAGTGTAACATGGTTAAGGTTACTCTAGTTTCTGTGGCAAAGCAGAAATCTCATCCCCCGAGTCCTAGACCACTACCCATATCCCTAAACCACACTGATTCCCTTGGATTCCATTAAGTGATGGGGAAAACAATGCGTGAATCTGGTCTGCTGAATTTTCAGGACCAATCCATAACCAGGTTTCATTTTGGAAATATTAGGTCTTGTTGACTTCATTGTGTAATGTTTCTTTTGTGAATGGTTTGTGCATATGCGATTTAAGTGTGTTGTCTTGATGCGAGGCTGCCCTGCCATATTAACAATAAGAATACAGTTGAAGACAGAAGTTGATCTTTCAATAGTATATGCCCCCCAGAAGGAGAGTTAGTGCACTTTGATCTTTGTTTCAGACAGCGAAATGTCTTGAAAAAGTGATGTCTTGATATGCTGCATCTTATGGAATGCCTAGAACAGTGGTTCTCAGAGTATGATCCGCAGAGCCTTTGGGGCTCTGCAAAGCATATTGAGGGGCTCTGTGCTTTCTTCTTCCTCCCCCCTGCCCCCTCCAAGCTTTCCTCCTCTTTTCTACTCCTCGACCCTCTCTCGCCACAAAACCTTTTTCCTCCCTGTCCTCGACCCAAACACTTTTTTCCTCCCTTGCCTCACCCCAAAAGCCTTTTCCCCCTCACCTTCCTCACCCCCCAGATCCCATTCTCCTTGCCTTCCTTCCTTCCTTCCTTCCTTTCCCTCCCAACACTCAGGATGTGCTTTGATTGTGCTTTTCTTGCATGGCAGAAGGATGTTGGACTGGATGACCCCTGGGATTTTGCACTGAAATACTGTTGAGTTTATGTTGGTCAAAACAGTTGTCCATATCTGATATATACACATTATATATAATATAATATATAAACATTTCTTGGGGTTCCACGAGAAACTTTTGCTTCAAAAAGGGCTCCGCGGCTGAAAAAAATCGAGAACTCATGGTCTAGAACAGTGGTTCTTGACCTGGGGTCCCCAGATGTTTTTTGCCTTCAACTCCCAGAAATCCTCACAGCTGGTAAACAGGCTGGGATTTCTGGGAGTTGTAGGCCAAAAACATCTGGGGACCCCAGGTTGAGAACCACTGGTCTAGAACATAACACAAAAGAGTGCCACAATAATGCCAGTGTGAGAATAATGTGGGAGAAGTCATCTTGATAAGAACAGTCTTTACTTAGCTCAAAAATTCATGTGATAATTGAAACTAAACATTGGATTAGAGACTCAATAAGAACAATTAGAATCACTCCTCACTTTATTTTAGAGAACTAAGATATAAAAACACTAGGCATATCTGTACTTCAGAACTGAGGTGTTTGTTTTCTAGGAGAATGAAGTGTTAAAATAGCCCACATTGAACATGTGATAGCCATTTTCCTGAGCTTTCATGTGTTAGTGGTACAGTGAACCCATGTTGGGTTTATTTTAGATTTTAAAGGACCTATCCAATAATAATAATAATAATAATAATAATAATAATAATAATAATAATAAACCTTATTTGTATTTCGCCCTATCTACCCGAGGGGACTCAGGGTGGATTCCAACATAACAATGGCAAACATTCAATCCAAGATGATAATCCCCCGTTTTAAGTTGGTTCAGCACCTTGGATAGTTCCTTCTCAGAACGACTGCCATGAGAACCTCCTATTGCCCAGTTGTCTTTTATTGCCCCAGTGTCCAATCCAAGACATTTTGCTGTTAGAAGCAAAAGACAAATTGCTTCTATAATATTTGATAAAGATTGTACAGCTGGAGGGAACCTCAATCTAATCAAACATGTACCTAAGCAAGCTGTCAGTTGAACCTTATACCAAATATGATAATGGGACAATATTTTCCATTGCACTTAAGAACTGCAGGCAGTTGAGAAGGTGGAGGCAGATTGTATAGTGCACACTGCTCTGCCAGTATGATACTATATGTGCCCTCAAATCTCAACATTTGCCACCTGTAGCAGCGGCCTCATTCTATTCCATTCTAGGTCCCAACTTGCTGATGCGACCACATTTGCACCATATGAATAATTTTTTCTGTGTTTTCTATACTCTAATGAGCTATAATTCTATTTCACTAAGATGTCTGAAAATATTGCTTGTATTTTCAGAGGAAGAACTAACAGCAGCGCCCGTCGTACCACCAAAGGATGAAGAACCAAAGAAACAAAGGCAGGAACCGGCTAGCAATGTCTTGGGTAAGTGCCATTATTTGTCTGTGGTTTGCATTGTGATTGCTTTATGGTTACTTTTCAATGTTTGCCTTCACCCAGAACAAATGAAAGGGGCGAACTTCCAGAAAGTTTAACTGTTTTTTTAATGACAGCACCAGGGAGAAGGGGGAGCAGGGAAGCATCAGAATGGCGCCATTTAGGATGCATGAAAATCACTTGAGAAGGATTTATAAAGTAAGCCAATTTATACAAGGTATTCCTTCCTGAATTACTTTGTAATGACTCAATTAGCTTTCATTTCTTCACAAAGGAGATTTAGCTGCATAAATTAGCTTATCATCATTGAGGAAGTGTCACGGCTAAAGGACAGTTTATAGATACAACATGCAGTTGCTGTCAAACCTATAAGAACGTAATATAGACATCTGTGTATACTTTGTGCTTGAGCAGAACAGACTTCTGTCATTCAGAGACTAACAGGGGACAACAAGTTGCCCAGGGGACAAGCAATGTAGACGTCTCTGAAAAGGTCATCTTGACACAGGCTCTGACAATCGACCCACTGCTCTGTCTTCTTTGATAAAAATCAGATAAACTTAAGACCACTAATTGATCTGCAGCCTGTTTAAATGTTGGCCATGCATATCTTCATTGCATATGATTATACCTCTGAAAGCAAATGAACTGTGCTAAGAAATGCCAGTGTCCAGTGACAGCAGAAGGAAAGGTGATGGCAGCATAAAAATCAGAAAAGGACAGGCGTGCAGCATAGAAAAGAATCACTTTCCTTTCTCTTGCTCTGCGTTGGCATCTTGCCTTTGTGCTTATTAGCATCCAATTTGGAAGGGAGTAAAGGGGAGCGGAATGCATCATCTGAAGTCCTGAGGTCAAAGTTGTTTTTCTTCCTGATCATAAAAAGCCAGTGTTTTAGGAATTTCTTTTGATGCCCTTGGCTAAGTTTACAACTTGGTAAGAGGCACAAAACGTTTTTTTTAAAAAACCCACTTACTCCTTATCAGGACACCACTTTATGCCTAGGACAGCATCTGAGGGAGTGGTGCATTTTTGTGATGTGCCTCTGCAAAGAAATGAAGCTTGGGTTATCTTTCTGGTCATTTTGGCTCCACATCATTCTTCCACTACTGTCAGAGAAAGGGAGGATGAGGATTGTGTTCAGGAAGTATCTTTGCTATGCCCTTCCTTTGAGAGCGTGTGGAAAGGAAACAGGCGTTGTTTCCGGCCTCTCTCAGGAAACTTATGTGAACAGGTTGTTGTAGACAGTTTAGGTTTGCGTTTCTTGCAGAGGAAACGAAGGTTTGATCCATCAGATGTTTCTCTGAAGGGTGGTCCTTTGCAAAACAAGGGCTGAGTAGTAACATTTTTTCAGTATAACCTTGGAAGTAGAATCATGGATGCTTTCTGGAGAAACACACCGGCTACTGCAGTATTTACCCAACTCAACTCAAGGCTACTATAAAATAGATATTAACATGCTTTCTTACATTCTAAAATTAAGAAACACTTCTCTGCATATCCTATATGCGTTTAGTCAAAACAATTACACTGAATTCAGTGAATCTATTCCCTAGTAAGTGTGTATAGGGTAGAAGTGGCAACAAGCCTGGAGTTATAGTTAACAATAGAACAACACCTTCCTTAAATTAGATTTGCATTAGGAATACTGCAACCTCCAGCTGCTGTTGGTATGTAACTTCAAGTAATCTTGGCCAGTATAGCCAGTGGTAAAGGAACGTTGGAAATAATAGTTCAATAATAGCTGATGATTCTCAGTCTGCATTAGTCCATAAACTGCTTACAGATTGGGTTGTTGTAGATTTTTCGGGCTATATGGCCATGTTCTAGAGGCATTCTCTCCTGACATCAGGAGAGAATGCCTCTAGAACATGGCCATATAGCCTGAAAAAACCTACAACAACCCAGTGATTCCGGTCATGAAAGCCTTCGACAATGCTTACAGATTTCATGTAGCCTTTTATCTCTATTCATAGCCTGCCAGATGTTTATTACCATGAAAAGCAATGTTTTTCAGAATTCTCAGAAGAAAGGTATAGTTTAAGATTTCATAAAGGCAGATAATTTTCCTGTAGAGAAATAAAGAAGAATACTTTAGGTTTGGATGCAATCTGTCCCTTGCAATTAATTGTGTGTGTGTGTGTTTGGGGGGGGGGGTGGTATTAAATATTTGCGTTTTATATATTTTGATGCCCTTGGCTAAGTTTACAACTTTGTAAGAGGCACAAAACTAAAAAACCCCCCAAAACCCCACTTACTCCTTATCAAGACACCACTTTATGCCCTGAAGCTTGTTTTCTGTTGCCCTGATGACTAGGATGCAGAACAATGGCTTCAAACTATGGGAGATTCCACCTGAATATTAGGAAGAACTTCCTAACTGTGAGAGCTGTTCACCAGTGGAATTCTCTGCCCCAGAGTGTGGTGGAGGCTACTTCAGTTGCTCTTGAGGATGTTATCTGGTCATCAGGGCTACAGCTGACAGTCTAGTCTAGTTTTTGCATGGAAGTGTATAGCATTCATTTTGTCCTTAGCCTGACATCCACAGACTTCCTACAAACTTAAAGGCTTCAAGTCTTTTAGCTCTTTAATTCAGGAAATAAGTCCCTTTGAATATACAGTGGGCCCTTGATATCTACTAGGAGTTGATTCTAGGACACACACATACAGCATGGATACCAACATCTGTGGATGGTCAAGTCACATTATATGCAATGGTGTAGTAAGATGGTATTCCTTATATAAATGGTAAAATCAAAATTTGCTTTTGGGAATTTGTGGATGGATGAATCAGTTGATGCAGAATTTTTGGATATGGAGGGCTGACTGTATGGGGATATTTTTCATTTTATTGCTCAGGCCTTCACTAAGTGAGAACTTTTATCTTTGTAAAAGGGTTTCTGATTTCCAAGCATCCTTAGAGTGTTAAACCCCCATCCACCCACATCAGAGATTACATAGATGCTTCAGATTGACCATTTCTTTCAACAGCTGTGGTCTATCATTCATGCAAATTGTATGCAAATTACAACAGTTGCAAATAAATAATAAAGAACCTAGCTCATGCTTCCAAAGCACTCTGTGTTGAAAGAAGTCGCCTGTCCCCATTGTAAAATATTAATGCTTTTTCTTTGTTAGCAAGGTCTTAAATTTTTATGAGTTGACCAATAAATTTAAGGCAGCTTCATACAACATCCTTGAAACAAAACCAACTAATAATGATCCCCTGACATGAATTTCATTTCAAGCAATGGTTTCCACACTTTAGCATAACAGTGATCCCTGATCTTCTCAGGACAGTTTAACAGGTAAGTTTAAAAGTTTATTTGTTACGTAAGGTAATAAGTTGACAAGGAGCTTTTTGCTTAGTGGGGATCAGGTGACATGAACTTCCTCTAATCTTACTAAAGAATACAAGCTGTTTTTCATGTTGAAACACTTTCTTTTGATAATAATATGCACAGAATTTTCTTGGAGCAAAACTGCATGACTTGAGTGGCTGAGCTGCATGTGTGTTACATTTACCTTGTAGACAGAAATAGGATATGTATACATTATTTTCATGTCTGTGTATCTGAGATTTCACATCTAGATATATTTATTGGAGAACAAAACTCATTCAATTGAATGACACCGGTTTTTGAATAGGACTGTACAGTCTCATTAAAGTGGAATCTGTAAGTCTCACAGCTACCACATTTCACACACATGGTGGATTTTGGCACATTTTGTCTCTAACATTTGGCAAGAGATACTGTCTGGAGCTCTGGTAGATGGTGGTATATGGATAATAGCTTTCACACTTTTAGAAGTACATTTTCTGCAGTCTTTCTCCTAGTTAAGATTGTCATAATGTAAGAGAAATGCACTGTTCTACTACTGATTTTCAGTATGCCATATGCAATCATCTTAAAATGACTTGCATCTGCATTACTTAAAATAATAGTATAAAAATGTAATAGTCAAACTCAATATTTTATAAAGCACCGGTAAATATATATTGTTGTTGTTGTTTATCCATTCAGTCGCTTCTGACTCTTTGTGATCTCATGGATCAGCCCATGCCAGATCTCCCTGTCGGCCATGGGCACCCCCAGCTCTTTCAAGGTCAAGCCAGTCACTTCAAGGATACTATCCATCCGTCTTGTCCTTGGTCGGCCCCTCTTTCTTTTTCCTTCATTTCCCCCCAGCATCATTATCATCTCCAAGCTTTCCTGTCTTCTCATTGTTGTTGTTCATTCGTTCAGTCGTCTCCAACTCTTCATGACCTCATGGACCAGCCCACGCCAGAGCTCCCTGTCGGCCGTCACCACCCCCAGCTCCTTCAGGGTCAGTCCAGTCACTTCTCATTATGTGACCAAAATACTTAATCTTTTTAATATGACTGTGAGAAAGCCAAATTTACCTTTAGAAAATGCATGCTGTCTTTTTCGGGCTGCTGCATCAAATACTTGAGGCTAGAAACATTGGATTTTGAATTTGTTTCAGGTTTTGGAATACCTGTATTTGCATATCCATACATATTGAAATGTCTTGGATATTGGACCCAAGCCCACAAAATTCATTTATGTTGTAATCCCTTTAACTGGAAATTTTCCTTCAGTCCACAAATTTCCACCATCGTAATAACCTCTGATGTCCGTTGAACATTTAGAAATACAGTTGCAGCATCCAAAGAAAGAATGGGCAAAGTCACCAAAGGCATGTTATAAGTGTGAATGATTTTCTCTTTTCTCATTCTCTGCAAAGCTGGAAACATTCAGATTGAAAGAAAATGTCACTGTGGAGGGCGGTTCCTTCAGCTGCACCGCTCAGTAGAAATATTTCTGAGTTCAGGAAAGAGTTGTTTTTTCCTCCTCTTACCCGTATAGCCTGCCTTTCTTCTCAGAGCCTGAAGGCGAAACTTCACTAGTATGGGAGATTCTTAAACAGGATTTCCTGACATTTTTGTTTTTGTTTTTATATATATATATATATATATATATATATATATATATATATATATAAAAATTCAAAAGATTTACAGTGCTGGAGGATGGTATCTAACTCTGTCCCTTGCACCATTTTTACAATAGTCCTCCAAAGCTGAGTCTCTAACAGCGCTAAGCACTTCTGACACGATAAAAAAACCCTCATAATTTTTTTCTAGCGTGTTTCTGTCTAGCTAAAACTGCATGCCCCAAAGAAGGGATGCTGGGCACTTGGTACAAAACTGCCGATGGTCTGAGATTTGGCATACAGAAGAAACACAGAAGAACCTTTTATTTGGAATTTCTTCAGAAGCAAGGAATAGGCTTTGCAGCATTGTCTGCATCTCTTTCCAACATGCTTTGCTAAGCAAACAAAATGAATGTTTGCATGATGATCAGAAGTGAATTGAGGGTACAGTTAAAATGTATTTAAAACACAAAGTTAAAAGCTTAGCATTATGCTAAATGTCCTTTGACCAGTAGCTGGCCACTTGGATTGCCTCTGGTGTCACTCTGAGAAGGTCCTCCATTGTGCATATGGCAGGGCTCAGATTGCGTTTTCGTAGGTGGTCTGTGGTTTGCTCTCTTCCACACTTGCATGTTGTGCACTCTACTTTGTAGCCCCATTTCTTAAGATTGGCTCTGCATCTTGTGTTGCCAGAGCGCAGTCTGCTCAGTCCGTTCCAAGTCGCCCAGTTTTCTGTATCCCCAGGAGGGAGTCTCTCATTTGCTATCAGCCATGGATTGAGGTTCCAGGTTTCTAGCACCCATTTTTTGCTTGATATTCATGTAGTACTTCTTATAAGTCAGAGCAGCATGCAACCATCAATAATGAGTGAAAATAATGTTGAGAGTAGAATCCTGTTGGGACATTATGCTAGCTAAATATAGTTCTGATTATTTCTCAGAAGTTTCATAAAAGTAGGCTGTAATGCAGACATAAGCATACCCAAAACCTTCCAATCCTCGATTCTGAATAGCTGGCTTGGAAGCTAATTGATTTTTGTTCAAGGAATTGGTGATCAGTTGTGCAGCTCTGAAATCTTGTGTAACTTTACTAATAAATATTTGCACTACATTAAAAGTTTATTGCATTTACAACATAATATTGAATTTTGGTTGTAGGTTGCAAGGGAGAAAGTCACTTTGGTTTGAACCTAAAACCAGTTAGAAAGGTCAGCTTGAGTTTTAGATAACTTTAAATGAGTCAGGATCCTCTGTTTTTTTATTATTTTGCTGTGGGATTTTTTCCCCTTTCTCAGTGTATTCCAATAATTCATCAACTTACATAAGTTTAATGTGCCTCAAGTCACAACCAGCCAGGAATTCCAGGAGAAACATATTATGCTCAAAGAGAAAATATGGTGGATCTTTTTGTAAGCCTGTGTTACAAAAATTTTAGAGACTTTTCCTTGAATATTTTACTTCAAATTATCAGCACATTCCAGTGGGGACTGGACTGCAGGATGTAGTTCTGCTTTTGCGAAATGATGGAAATGCATTAGCAATTATATATAGCATCAGTTATAGGAAAAAATACAGTTTACGTCTAAAATCTTCAGAATCTCCTTCATGTCCTAGGCAGTCCTGGGTATCTCACTCCAAGAAAGTAGAATTTTCAATGCGAGCCATGCATATTTACAGTGAATAAGGGGGCCGATCCTAGTCTTAAACTGGCCATCTGAAGTGTAACAATGTACACAAGACAGAATAGAGGAAGATCAGTGAAATGAAAGTTGTGCTATAGTCCTAAAATATGGGAAGGCTGCCAGAGGCTCACTCATAAGAACTAAGGACCTTGTAAATTACACTGGTTTGGGAGCCACTATTCTGAAGCAATTTCTTGAGCTGGAATTCTAAAGCAATGCACATGGTAGGAGTTTCCTTGTATTTCTAGTGCAGTAGGCATGCAGATGGTCTCAGACGTAATGAAATGCTAGTGATAACGTGTGCTGCACATTAGAAATGCATTCTATTTAGTCTCCTGATCACAGTTAATCCAAACACATCATATTTACGTAGAACCTTTTCCCACATTCTATCAACTTCTGGAGCTCCAGTATATAATAGGGCCCAGTATATATTACAGCTTGTATATAATAGGACTTGTGCATCCACAGATTTTGGTATCGACGAAACCAAAACCCAGTGGATACCTGAACCTGAACATTCACTGGGTTTTATCTCGTATTCAGGCTGTGATTTTACCATCTGGAAAGCTCTCTTCTTTGTTTCAGGCACTTTTTCTTTCATTGTAGGGCCCTTCCACAGAGCTCTATATCCCAGAATGTCAAGGCAGAAAATCCCACATTATATGAGTGTGGACTTAGATAATCCAGTTCAAAGCAGATACTGTGGGATTTTCTGCTTTGATATTCTGGGATATAAGACTTTGTGGAAGGGCCCCTAATGAAACACTTCTGTATTTGTAGAGAGAGACATGTAGGATGGAAAGAGGAAGGGCCTCTAGGGCTTCAGCATCTAAATTTTACAAACTTGGAAACACAGCCAATTAATTTCTTTATGCTTTTTGGTTGTTTTTTTTTTTTTTTTGCAAATATCCTTATGCAAAAGCATAATTAACAATTTCTGTCTTAGGGCCCTTCCACACAGCTATATAACCCAGAATATCAAGGCAGATAATTCACAATATCTGTTTTGAATTGGGTTATCTGTGTCCACACTGCCATATAATCCAGTTCAATGTGGATTTTATACAGCTGTGTGGAAGGGGCCTTAGTTTCCTTTCTTGTGCTCTTAGTTCTGTAGCACAGGTGGGCAACTGTTAAATCATCAGTTGTTGTTTTTTAGCCTGAAACTCTCATCAACCCTAATCAGTGTAGCTGATCATGAAGGATTATGGGCACTGCAATCCAGCATGCCAAGCTGTTCGTGACAGGTCTTTCTATTTTTCTTTATCTGTCTTTGTTTTAGCTGTTTCCTAAATCCTTCTGCATATTGCAGAGACTTGAGAAGGCCCTACTGGCAGTGAATAAATGCAAGATAATAAATATTGGCATTATTGAACAAACCGCCTTATTTATAAGACACTTATTTTATCATAATTGAAGTGTATGGGTCATCGGATGGAAACTAGATTACATGAAACAGATTTTCCTTACATTTGTTAGCTGTTAATACAGCTCCATGAAATATTGCCTACAGAAAAGAAGACCAAAAATTGCCAAAACTCAAAAATAAAGACATTGCCCCATACTGTGTTCATACTTCCATCCTGCGTGCCCTCTAGTGTTGTACAATAGAAGTTATATGGCTTGTTTATAAAAAGGGTGAAGTGTTCAAGATGTGTGGTGAAAATGTGCATTTTGCCTTGAGCCGATAACCGGTTGGTAAAACTTCCACCTATGACAGTTTAGATGTCCAAATGTTGTGTACTGCAAGCCTAGGTAACATACCCACAGATTGGACTTTTCATGAACTGCAGTGAATGCATGTAGTATGGGAAATTGCCTTGCAGTGGAATTTATGTAAAATGCCAGATTGAATGTCAATGTTCATTGTAAGTGGAAGACTATATTATTATCTGAAGAACATTATCTGTTTGCATTTGGAGAGTGATTTATAGATGTAAACAGTCATAATTTTACAACTTAATATTATTATTTATTTATTTATTTATTTATTTATTTATTTATTTTTATCCCATTTTTCCCCCAGGTGGGACTCATACATACATTATTTGTATGTTGAACTATACAAATAATGATTTGGAATTCCAGTGACTTGAAAACATTACTAATACGTTTTGTAATTTATCAGTATGGGAGATTAGTATCCTCTGGAACAAAACAAAAGACAGTCACACTTGGGGCTTTTATTTCCATACCAAGTAGAAGTGTTTAAGTACATTTGCACCTAGTTTGCTTCTCTTGAACATAGTGCAGCTGTTTTTTTTGTCTCATTGGGGTGGCTTGTCTTTTTGCTGGACATGCTTTTTATAGAAACAATTGGCCATGTGCATAGACGCTTTCAGTGTATAGCAACTGTGTTGAGTTCAGTGCTTCAGTAACTACTTGTATGTATGGTAAGCATATGACAAAGCATTTATTACTCTGTTATGGTGGCATTACAGCGCAAACAGTGCTAAAATAATCAATCAGTTAATGGTCTGTATGGCAGTTTGAAAGCAGCACATCCATTGTGCTTATGTGCTTAGAAGGATGAGTTTATGGCAACTGCGTATTGCATATTTAGCCAGAACTTAATGTCCCAAACTGATGCTGACACAATATATGCATATAGATGAAAAAAATTCGCAGCTTCAGCAGTCATCTCTATAGATGCAGCAGAATTTTGGTATTGATTCTCCAAAAGGGAAGCATTTTCCAAAAAGTTGTAATCCCCCACTTCAGATGACTTTTTTTCCCATATGGTCAGAGGTTTTCTTAATGTCTGCTGCAATTTTGTAGTGCATCACATGTGTGTGAACAATGTAGCTTGAAACAGAGTTACCATGTGCATCTCTGAAAACTTGTAGCCACATGTTATTAAAAACAGGTTTGGAGACTTCAAGGAGTGGGATTTCTTTTTCATCTTTCCTGCAGCACTTCTCTGGGGAGTGAATAGGGGAGCAGCTTCCTAGTTTTAAAAGGAGATAACTTGGAAAATGTCCTCCAGCAGCTCTTGTTTGAGTGGCGTTTGTGTTTGCATCACTGATAACAAAAGCCCCCAATCACCTATGCTGACAAATCTAATGTATGAACCTTTTCCTTCCCCCAGGCAATAAAAAAACCGATTATGTTAATTTCTATCAAGGTTTGTGGGACTGTACCGGAGATGTTCCTGATGAGCTGACATTCAAACGTGGCGACATTATCTACATTCTCAGCAAGGTACTGTATCCTACAGAGAATAGATAGGTGAGAGGAGATAGCTGAAATTTTAAAAGAAGCAGCAGCAGCAGCAGGCAGTCTTTGAGGTTGCGGGGAAATTGGCATTTCCTTTACATCCTCTACATTTGGTCTACAGTTCCTTGCACATAAATTATTTTGTCAATTGAGTGTAATCACATTCAAAAAGTTATTGTGCTACAGGAATCGTCTTTAAGTCTTGTTTATCTGTGCTTGGCGTCTTGGCTACTTGCTGCTAAGTAACTTCCCTCTGAGACAATAAGTTCAATGCATGTAAAAATGTAGCCTTGTCAACTACTGAATGATATGTGTGGATGACTTGTGTATGCATTCCTCTTCCTTTATACGTCTTGTATTTGCTGATTCTGGATGTTCTGAATAGCTTTGATGTCACAGTTTGGCCTCAAGAGCATTCTGGGTTGTCTCCATTTGTGTGCCGTGATAGATTTGGCTCATCTTCAATTCACTGCGTTGGCCTTTTAAAAAAGCAAACTGATGTGATGTGATGTAACGTAAGTGCCTTTTTCTGCATTTCCCAATGAAAGCAGAATCCTGCACCAAGAAAATCCATGCATGAGATGATCAAAGCTCCAAATTGACCACATTAAGACACCATTTTCCAGTTATGTCTATCTCAGAAAACTGCTACTGAACTCAGTAGGGCTTCTGACTGTGCTGTCAGTCTCACTTAGAACTCAAACTACAAGCTGTGTTTTAAATACATAGTATGCAACTTGCAATCTCGTTTTTAACATTAAGGTAAGACAGAATGATCATACTGAGGGAAATAAAGATCCTGGCCAAGGTGGTTTTTATTTCATAATTCCCTCTCTCAATGGAGGGCTTTAAAAAAGAAGAAAAAGTCTCAATCAGCACCTCCCCCCCCATTTAAAACTCCCATGTTGCTGGGAGAATGGAGTGAATCTTAAAATTAAAAGCAGCTGGTGAAAATCTCCCTAGTGATGGTCTCAGTATAGATTGGTATATATTCCATTTTAAGTTAAATATGTACACTTAATTAGAAAAAGAAAAAGGACCCTAAACTGCATACTGTATTTATCACAAGATGTAGTTCTGTTCTTAGGGTACTTCCCCAAAGAACCTGTTGTTGTTGTTGTTGTTTTGGGGGGTGGGTAAAAGATTCTTAAGTCCTTGCTGTACATAAATTAAAGAGTAACCTTTACTATCCTGGTCTAGATTCCTGACACAACTCTGAGCAATTACTCCAGAATCTGCTCAGTGCTGCCTGTCCACTCTTGCCCTGAGATACTTTCACACCACGGCCTTTCTCATCAGTAAAGTGCAAAGCATTTGTCTTTAGATAAATGTTAAAGTAGCTAGAACTAACAAAATGAAAAAAATGTTTTGCTAAGAGTAACTTGAGTTTGCCTTTCTCGTGTTTCACCACAAATGCAGTGAATGACTATGATTTCTAGTATCCCTCTCTTTCCTGAGGGCTTAGAAAAGGGTTTTTGCTTTAACGGTAACTCCCAGCATCCATCAGTCAGTAGCCATAATGGCTGGGAGGGAAATTGTAGCTGCAATTATAACTTTCCCATATTCTGCCTTGTCTTGCATCTCCCCATAAGACTTGTATAAAGCCAGTTAATAATAATAATAATAACAACAACAACAACAACAACAACAACTTATTATTAATTATGGGACTTTCGAATCCAGACTGACAAAGTTTTGGAACACAATACACCAGACATCACGATTGTGGAAAAGAAAAAAGTCTGGATTATTGATGTCGCCATACCAGGTGACAGCCACATTGAGGAAAAACAACAGGAAAAACTCAGCCGCTATCAAGACCTCAAGATCAAACTGCAAAGACGCTGGCATAAACCAGTACAGGTGGTCCCAGTGGTCATTGGCACAGTGGGTGCCATGCCAAAAGATCTCAGTCGGCATTTGGAAACAACAAACATCGACAAAATCACGATCTGTCAACTGCAAAAGGCCACCTTACTTGGATCTGCACGCGTCATTCAAAAATACATCACACAGTCCTAGATGCTTGGGAAGTGTTCGACTTGTGATTTTGAGATACGAAATCCAGCATATAGATCTTGTTTGCTATGACATACTGTGCTTTTGTGTCAACAATAATAATAACAATCTTTATTTAAACCCATCCTATCTCCCCTAAGGGACTCAGGATTGTTTCCAAACAAAGGTGGCAAACATTCAATGCCATAAAAATAATGCAAACAAATCAAATCAAGCAATACATAAAACAACTTCAATAGAAACTTATAATAACAAGCCAAAAATAAGTAAAAAGAAATAATTAAATAAACATATTGAATAAACATAATAAATCTAATCAAGAACATTTATACCATAATAAATTGGTCTTGTTCCCTTTTTACAGAGAGGGAACTGAGACTCCCTAGTGCCGTGCAGAGAAGGAATGTGAAACCAGGTCTCATATGTATACCATAATTCCTTCTTTTTTGCATGACTAACACAGTACAAGGAGCCCCCAGTGGCACAGCGGGTTAAACAGCTGAGCTGCTGAACTTGTTGACTGAAAGGTTGGCAGTTCGAATCCAGGGATTGAGGCGAGCTCCCACTGTTAGCCCCAGCTTCTGCCAACCTAGCAGTTCGAAAACAGGCAAATGTGAGTAGATCAATAGGTACCGCTCCGGTGGAAAGGTAACGGTGCTCCATGCAGTCATGCTGGCCACATGACCTTGGAGGTGTCTATGGACAACGCCGGCTCTTCGGCTTCGAAATTCACATGAGCACCAACCCCCAGAGTTGGATACAACTAGACTTTAATTCAGGTGAAAACCTTTACCTTTACCTAACACAATACAGCCAGACAATTCAATTCTATGTGCATTCAGTGTCTCAATGAACCAAGCATGACTTACCCACATGGAAGCATGCACTGCACTGCATCTTTTACTTTATTTTTCACTCCTTCTTTACTGTATTTTTCATTTCACCAAGTAATCCAGGAGAGAAAGCAATTTCCTGCGACGTGTTAAATTCCTAAAACTTTTGAGCCCACCTCAAACAAGTGCTAATACTACCTTTTCCTTTCTAATGCTCAGATTCATGGCTCATTTGACCCCAGACTCAAAGCATGAGGTCCTCTTAATCTCCATCTCCAGTTAATGCCTTGTTTAAAGGTATATTTGCCCTTGGCTTTAGGTGTTGGTCTGTCATAACCAGTCTGGATATATGAATGTTTTCTGCTTAGCAGTCATTTTCTTTGTTAAAACCACAAAAAAATTTAGCCAGAACTCAGTCTATTGTCAGTTAGACTCTTGCAGCTTTTTAAACAAAATGAGGTTTCCTGTCAGCATTGGATTTAGAGGCTTTGGAAAACAAAATGCCAAGGGATAATCTATTTGAACTTCCAAGGTACATGGTCTGAGTGAGCACTGCTAGCCAGACAAAGAGTGTGTTCAGAATGCTCTCAAGGTAAAATATAACTGAGAGCTTCCGGAGCTTAATGGCTTGAATAAATATTTCTCAACTCTATAAATTAGTGCTTTAGCTTTGTAGTATCTGAATGAGCCCTTGAGCCTTTTTGCTTTTTACATTTTTTACACCATCTAGCGGTTGCAAATGAGAGATGCAGGCGCCGAGAGAGACACTAATGTGTGCGGCTCCAAAATGGTGTCATAAATTCCACTTCAGCTTGATTTCAGCTAGTGCTTATTACTTTCTAACCATATATCAGCTCCCTGTTGACATTAATCCTGTGGAAATCTTATTCTACTGATAAGGAATTAAGCATAAGTATTATATGGTGTAGGAAAAATGCAACATGAACCAAAAGATAAAGTACTTGTGCAGACACAAAACATTATTTCAGCAGAGGAAATTTAAGTAGCAACAGTGGCAGGCAGAATGAAAAAAGCAAATATATATCTATCCTTTGAACTCCTGTCTGTAACAGCTTTGTGTCTTTCTGTCTTTGTCTTAACTGTTTCCTCCCTTCCCTGAAATATTCATAGTGTTGGAAACAATTCCACTTCAAAACAGTGGGTTTGAAAAGAGCATGTACTACAGTCAGGGTCGCTTTTATTTATGGATCTGTTTGTGCATTTAGCTGCCCGGCTGCCATTATAAATGGCGGATACTGCATTAATGTCATTGAATCATAAATAAGTTTTAAGTAGAGCTTGGTATTGCAGAGCTTCGTATTATTTAATATGAAGTGCTGTTTTAATGTGCAAAACAACATGTCTCAGCAGCAACTGCGACTACTCAAATTTGACTTTTTGGGCCCAAACTTGGGGAAAAAAGCATAGAAAAAATGATGCTTGGAATCTATTACAAGTTTTGTGTATCCTGTATGGTCCCCTCTCCTATAGACAAAAGTTCACAAGATTAAAGCCCTTGATTGTTATGTGAAAGCATGGGGGGGGGGGGAGCAATAATAAATAGGAACAGTCACTACATATAAGTTTCCAAAATAATTAAATTTGTAATCATAGGTCTTGTTGCTGTGTTATTTTTTCTTCTTCTTTTGACTTGCTTCATCCTGGGTTTTATGCAAGATTAATCTTTGTTGGTTTCTGACCTCCATAAGAAAACATCAGCATTTTATACACAGAGGAATGTAATGGGATGGTAACACTCAAAAGTGACCCTGCCAAAATGAGAAACAACAAAGACACACACACACACACACTTATTTAGGATATATCACACAGTCCTAAACGCTTGGGAAGAGTTTGACTTGTGATTTTGTGATATGAAATCCAGCATATATTGCTGTGTCATACTGTGTTTTTGTCTCAGTAAAATAATAATAATAATAATAATAATAATAATAATAATAATAATAATCTTTTATATATACCCTGCCACCATCTCCCATAAGGACTAGGATGGCTTACAAAGCACACAATGGTGCCATACAACATATAAAATACAATACATCTACATTAAAACCAGCATTGCATTAAAACCAGACATATAAAATTAACAAGAGCAGTAGAATCAATAAGATA